AAATGATACACATGCTTGACTTTTGTGGTTAGAATGTTATTTCAAAAAGAATTGTTTCCAACTCGCAGCAAGTTTCTATTCTGTCCCTACTGTGTGAAAACCCCTCAACACCGTTGAGCCTGTGGGACTAGCCTGGCTGGCAGACTGTACAGGTTATGTATGTTGCTGACTGAATGAGTTAGTTTCCCTATTGCTGTGATAAAGTGCACCGGCAGAGAAAGCACTTCCCTGGCTCACAGTCTGAGGTACAGGCCAGGAGCTGGGGTTCCCGCTACAGCCGGGGAGCAAAGGGCAAAGGATGCTAGTGCTCAGCTCACTCTCTCCTTTTCATCTGGTCTAAGTCAGGTGCTCCAGTACTGGTTTGATCCCAAGGCTTGAAGATTTTCACATTATAGTACGCGCAATCATATGTGTTCTTGGGATTTATAGAAAATATGAATATGACTCCACAAACTCACTTTCTCTGTCTCTAACTCTCCTCCTCACCCCTACCTGAGGATGGGTGGCTCCACCGACTCACTTTCTCTGTCTCTAACCCTCCTCCTCACCCCTACCTGATGGCTCCACAAACTCACTTTCTCTGGCTCTAACCCTCCTCCTCACCCCTACCTGAGGATGAACTTCTTTTCTACCCAATCAGTAGCGTACCCTTCCTCCTCACCTTCAGTATTACCACCACGGGGACCACTTCTGCCACTAGTGGAGACTGAACAGTGGCAGTGCAGGAGGCCCACATGGCGCCTTGACAAGAGGTCTGGCCTCTGAGCTTCCGTCTCCAAGTTTTCTGACTGCTCCTGGAGTTTCCTGCTCTGTAGATACATGCTTGAGGCTGTGGATCCACGGAGAATGCTCCAGATCCATGGAGAATGCTCCAGATCCACGGAGAGTGCTCCGGATCCATGGAGAGTGCTCCAGATCCATGGAGAGTGCTCCGGATCCATGGAGAGTGTTCCGGATCCATGGAGAGTGCTCCGGATCCATGGAGAATGCTCCAGATCCATGGAGAGTGCTCCGGATCCACGGAGAGTGCTCCGGATCCATGGAGAGTGCTCCAGATCCATGAAGATTGTTCCAGATCCATGGAGAGTGCTCCGGATCCATGGAGAGTGCTCCAGATCCACGGAGAGTGCTCCAGATCCATGGAGAGTGCTCCAGATCCACGGAGAGTGCTCCAGATCCACGGAGAGTGCTCCAGATCCATGGAGAGTGCTCCAGATCCATGAAGATTGTTCCAGATCCATGGAGAGTGCTCCAGATCCATGGAGAGTGCTCCCAGGAAGTTTGCTGACGCTGGAGCCTCTGCGATCAAGTGAGTTTCCTGGATGCACCACACTGAGCCAAGTCCCACCAGGGTTCTTGCTCCTTCCCTGGGGTCACTCCCTGGTGGGGGCCGGAGTACCCTGTCCTCACCCAGGCCTCCAACAGCGTTCCTCCCCCTGCACCATCTTCAAGTGACAGGGTGAGCCATTTCAGTGGCTTCCACTTTCTGTGTGGGGCACAGATTGGTGGGAAATAGAGCCTCCCTCACTTTCGTGAACTCTAGGAGGGGACCAAGAGAAAGAAAAGCACTGAAAACGCCGGGCAAGTGAACGTGCTACCGGTTACTAGGCAGTGTCTTGGCTCTGTGGCAAGGCTGTGGAAACGAACGTGACAGACAGGTTGGGGCCCTGGCCCCACCTTACTCTCCGGGCAACCTGGACTAGCTTCCTAGTCAGTGAACCAAAGGAGGTGGCAGTTCTACCCATCTCACACCGGGGCTGTGAGAATCACGTGATCCACAACCCACCGCGAGCGCCCTGTGGAGACCCAGGCGGGCTCATCAGATGGTAGCTGTGACTATTATTCAGTCTGCTTTCCCTGAAGGGAACACAGATCCTTCCTCACAGTGTGCCTCCTTTCCAGTAGGTTACTAGACAATAATGACTGTCTCTTTCGGATCTATTGATCCGTGACCCTCTCTATCACCAAAGAGACCGGAAAAGAAGGGATGAGGAAAGGAACTCATGCTGTGTGAAGCTTGCTCACTAAGAAGTGGGTTCTGACTTTTGCCTGCCAAAGAAGGCTGATCCTGGAGAAGGGATTAGACTCCCTGTGATGATAGCTTAATGGAAGGACCAGCGGTGGGATGTGTCCTTGGCTGATGGGGGCCTCTCATCATTAGAGGCATGCAGCCTGCCTGAGCATCAGGGCAGAAATCCTCTCCTCACCTGGTGTCATGGCTGAACTTTTGAAGGCACCTGCAATGCAAATTAGCTCTTATCTGTCATTCTGTCTGAGTTTCCCTTCTGTTATTAGCCTTTATGCAGTTTTTAATGATGGATATTTTGTGTGTTTATGCATTCAAGGTCTTCTCGGCTGGTAGATTGCATAGCTCTTGAGGGCAAGGATTAAGAGTGTTTTATTGACCGAGTACAATGACTTAGCTTTAACTTTTTAATCTGTTAAATGAGGACAGTAATACTGCTTTCGTCCACCTCACTGAGCTGTGAAATTAAAAGAGATAATACATGGGAGACGTCCTTGTAAGTCATGAAGTGTGCTTCACATATTAGTTAGGCTGAGGGCTGTGTCTGTTTGAGGGGGCATCACAGGCTGAGGACTTGGTGAATGAGATAATAGGGAGAGAGATGAGATAATAGGAGAAAGTCCTTGGAAGAGGATACACTGGGACAGCTTTTACTGCGGAAAGCTGAACACAGCAGTTCCCACCTCTAAAAATACCCAGGTCACTCAGTTCACTCAGTCGGGATTGAAATAGTTAAATACAGCGAAGACTGGTGAGTCTAAGTGTGGGTGACAGGGAGTAACCCAGAGCTGATGGAGTCTCTTAAGTGGGTG